TGTTATCGTTATTATCTAATTGTTTGTGGGGTGTACAGATTGGTTTATGGAATATGTTGCTCTATAAATACCTACCTGAAAGATTTCTTAACGGAAAAACAATGTATCGAACATTTTCTTTATCTTTTTGGTAACTTGTTTTGCGATAATACGGCCCGGTTTATCATAAAAATATTTTTATAAAAATCTGAAGTCACAATCAAAGTTTAAAGAGAAAATAATTATTTGACAGCACATTGAAGTTTTGGTGACGTTCTAGAATACGGGCCTGCAATTATTATTTTGGTACTATGTTTTAAAACTCAGAACTAATATAACATGTAAGATCTATGAAAAATTCCAAAAGGTCAATTTGTACCCTCGATAAATTAAAAATTCAATCGCTATTCATTTATTCAATTATTTGACAGCACATCGCCCATCGCTAACAATAGAACCTCTTTACCCACACAGTGACAATACACATGTATAATCTGTGGCTCTTTAGTCTGTGTTTCTATAGTCTCTGGCTTACCAAAGATACGTTCGGAATACAAAGTTCCATTTCTGTAACCCTATCCAGTACGTGACAAAAAGGTAAAGGATTTTTTCTTTTTTCGACCCTGCACGTGGTCGGTTTGTGGTCCAACGTTTTTTTTTTATGAAAGTATTATGTGTAAAATTCTTCAGCGCTGAGCGATCGGTTACAACTGGTTACAACCGCTTTCCATGTCGGTATCATTTTAAAAAATTGACTATTCAAGTGTTAAATATTACGATATATTGTATTAAATATCTTATAATGGAAAGATAAGGACCATTACAGCAATAATTGATATTGAAGAGTTGTGTGAATATGATCAATAAATAATAATCTACCAATATAAAAAATAACCACACAATATTATTGTCTTTTGTAATACGAGTAGTCAAGTTTTTTAAATAATCAAATCAAAAAGGTACGTTATCCTTTGTTTAGTACAATAATGGACTATTCTCCAACAAGAAAAAAATCTAACTAGACTATATACTATTTATTATAGTTATCGCAGGGTTGGCCTTGGATTCAGCATGCGACTCGCAGCCCCGAGGTGGTAGGTTCGGACCCCGGATGTGCACCAATGGACTTTCTATTTGCATATTTAATACTCGTTCGTACCTACAATGAAGGAAAAGGGTTGGGGTTGATATCCATGCGTTGGAATTTGATGATACTGATTATGCAGGAGTCTCGGGGACCCTTGATTGGAACACCTCCAAGTGATTTTAGCTTTAGGATAAGCGTCAAAGTATTTTAAAAAATTTTTTTTAACTTTTGTCAATTGTATTGAAATTATAAACAATCCGCCATTATCTAACTACTTTTCTATTGGTTATAAGAGATGTGACTTTCTCGATTTCTATTGGTTATAAGTGATGTGACATTTTCGGTAAATTAATTGGATCGATTATTTTCTCATTTGTTATTTTTAAAGTTGAACCTAATCGAATCGATTATTTTCTCATTTGTTAATTTTATAGTTGAACCTAATTTAAGCATTACTTGTCAAATGTACATACATTACATTAACTTCATGTTTTAATTAATGTATGGTTCCGAAAATTATTAAATTATTCAAATAGTACCCAAAACCGAATCAGAGCACCCCACTATCCACGTGGTCTTGTCTGCCTTACCCCTAGAGTGTATATAAATAATCGGAGGCGCGGAGGAAGAGCAGCCCCCACCCGCTGTAACAAAGCACAGGCATTATGAAAGCTGTAGCGGCTGAGGCTGGTCGCCAGAGGCGACCAAAAAGCCGAGGTTGCGGAGGCTTGAATAAAATGCCTGTGCTTTGGTACGCAAGGGTGGAGGGGCTGCATTTCCCGTAGCGCCGGAGCTGTCCACAAAAACAAATATTATTTAGATTGGTTAGGTTAGAGTTAGTATATGAATATTTGGTCGCCGAAGGCGACCAGGACGCCGAGAAGCCGAGGCTTGAATAAACAATTACTATTTAGATCGGAGCTGTCCACAAAAACAAATATTATTTAGATTGGTTAGGTTAGAGTTAGTATATGAATATTTGGTCGCCGAAGGCGACCAGGACGCCGAGAAGCCGAGGCTTGAATAAACAATTACTATTTAGATCGGAGCTGTCCACAAAAATAAATATTATTTAGATTGGTTAGGTTATATAAATATTAATATACTAACCGTATATTAATATTTTTTTAAATAACTGTTCAACTGAAACTCAAAATCGAAAACAAAATCGGATTTAAAATCGGATTAAAATCGAATACTAAAATAATCGATTTTTTCACTTTCACAGAATAGATTATTTTTCACATCTCTATTCTCTACTATTCATTGTTTAAAGTATAAACGCAATCGGCCATTTCGAATTTGGATTTTGCCAGAACAGTGTGTGTTCACAGTGATCAAGTGCAAATTATAAGTTAAAAAGCCGTTACTTTTTAGGTTTTTTATTTTTGCGTGAATGTGCGTTATTTTATTAGCATTTTTTTAAAACTTGGCTTTATATACTGTCTGTAATATATGTCTAGTACAGACACTGATTTCTTGCGATCATTTTCAAATTTCGTGTGCGAATGGCGTCTAAAAATAGTGGACATCTTAGGTTAGTATATTAATATTTTTTTAAAATAACCTGTGTTACTTTTTACGTGAATGTGCGTTATTTTATTATCATTTTTTAAAACTTGGCTTTACATATATACTAGACACTGATTTCTTGCGATCATTTTCAGATTAAGTACTGTAAAAAAAAAAAAAAATTTTTTTTTTTTTGGTTTCCTAAGCCCAAAATTTGTGGGGGTGATTACTACCCCCTCCCACCCCCTCCCCTCCCCCGCACCCCAAATTTAGGGTCTTCTCTCTCACATCTTTACCAAGGAAAATCCCGAGAGCAAACCGCCATGCCTTAGACTCAAAAAGTCGACGGCGGGTGTCAGGCACAGAAGGTTGATCACTTGCCAATTAGAATAAACAAATTGTCAAGAAACAGATAAAGAAATCTAAAGCCTCAAAGGTGTAGCGCCACTGGTTTAAACCTACCTATTATATGACAGATAAAACTACGAACTATGTTTAAACTTATACCACCTTTGTTCATAATCAGTCTAATTACAATCTTTGAACTGAATTCATCTCTTTCTGACAAATTGTGCTTTCGCTGTGATGAAAAGAGACAGTTTTAGTTTCTGAACATGGAGGTATCAATTTAAACACTAACAAATAAAGTACGCTTGTAATCTAATATCAATTAAAAAAAGATATTGGTTAGTTCCTATCCGCTATTTTGCTAGTAATTTATCTAAAATTATTATCTAAAATTGGAAGTGTAATATTTTTTGTTAACATTTATGTTTACCATAATTGTTATGGTTTTTAGAAAAGATAGCTTGTAACATACACTGTAGATATAGCATTATATGTAATGTGAACTTAAATAAATAAAGAGGTAAAAACTTATTTTAAAAAATCCCATTAGACTAAATCATCCCATACAAACTGGAACGTCTAATTTCTCTAATTTATTTCATTTCATATACCCGATAGCAGTATTCACATAACTCACTGTGTATCCTTAGTAAATCAGAGGAAATGATTTATCAGTACTTTGTATGTGATTTGCGAGCCTTTCGATTTAATCGCAGGAAGCGAGCGCTATGATCAATCTACAGGAACCTAGGCTAGCCAGCTGCTGATGCATAGTCGTTAGTCCTAGCGTCGGATGTGATGTATAAAAAAAAAGTAATATAATAAAATTAATCTCTATTTCTGAACAGATTCCGAACTCAAGGTAATTGCACACATAAGACTGTAATTTTACATCGCTTTTAACATACCTTTTTTAAAACAATTTCATTAAACTCGCTGGGGCTACATAAACAAGGATATGGGTGCTACAGCGTGCGACTCTCGTCCCTGAGGTCGTAGGTTCGATCCCCTGCTGTGCACCAATGGACTTTCTTTCTAAGTGCGCATTTAAACATTCGCTCTAACGGTGATGGAAAACAACGTGAGGTAACCGGCATACCTTAGACCCAAAAAGTCGACGGCGTGCGTCAGGCACAGGAGACTACTTGCCTATTAGATTAACAAATCATGAAACATATACAGAAATCTGAGGCCCAGACCTAAAAAGGTTGTAGCGCCACAGATTTTTATTTTTTTAGCTTGGTGCAAGTGATTTTTGTAAGTAATCAAACGAACCAACTTCTTGTGTATCAAAATCCTTTGCAAGAAAGCACAAAACTCAATTTACTTTCTACTCATTCTTTTAATTTATACTTCATACCAGTTAAATTTCATGTTTATCAAAGCAGGCAAAGCTGCGGTCATCTATTAGTATTAAAATAAAGTGATTCAAAGGCAACCTCCAGGCGGAATGTTGATGCAAAATTATGCAACCCATGCACAAGGGAAGTGTGCAGATAATAACACGATGAATAATAATGTGATTAAAAGAAACCTTACGGGACCTGTCGGTTTGAATTATTAATGGTCGTAATGTGGTTTATCAATTTTGATCTAAATAGTTAAGTAGTTCTCGTTTTACCTAGGTACATATTATAAGTAAATTTAGTAAGTAAAATTGTACTGAATAGTTTTAAGAAAAGCTTGCAATGAAAAAATTCAAAATCATAACCAACCAACTCTTTAAATTTAAATTCTTACATACAAGACAAAAACAAACATATACAATCATTCTAGTGAGTAATCATGCCCAAGTATTCTAAGTCGCGGCACGTCAAAGCCTATTCGTAGAAGTGTAAAAACCAGTCCTTACTACTAAAGACTCTTTAGGCGCGCGCTATTGCTCGCGTGCTGAGCGCGCGCCGGGCGTACCGGGACGCACGCGCGGGGCGCATATCAGGCTCCTATATAAGACCCGCGCCCTTCCTGATTTGATCATTCCCTGCTCACGCTTTGAGTAGTGCATGTAGCTCCTGCTCTCACGCAGATTGTAAATACGTAGACGTAGTTCGTTTTAGTATCGTACTAAGTTAATATGTGTCTCAAGAAAGAATCAGAGTCCCCGCAGAAGGAGGCTGAGTCACCTCGTTCTCCTTGGAAAAAGCTCTTGAGAAAGGTAAGATTTCAATTATCTCTTTACTTTTAAATGTTTATTTTTTGAGTTTGTTAATATTGAGTATTTTCGAGCAGTTAATTCAACAATGTTATCTCTTGTTCTAGAACTCAAAACCAAGGTTGCCACGATCGGTGACTAGGTCTACGCGAGTGAATCTTAACAAGTGCTGGTCGAAGTTGGGTGAGCTGATCACCAACACGCCGCCACGCACTGACCTGCCATCGCATAAGACTGCTTATCCCGAAGAACCTGTTATAGTGCCGTTCTCAAAATATTTCTACCCCACTGATCCGGTCAAACCGGTCACGGAAGACGATGATAACGCTGAAAATGAAAACATCCTCAACTCGAGCCGTTTTGAACTCATCTCTGACGCAGAGATAGGTGATAACATGGCGAATGAAGTTAGAGAAATATGTTACGCCGCGACCAAATCCAACTGTTTCGTATGCAAACTTTGCTTTTAATTGCGGCTTATTTTATCGTTATACAGTGAAAACAAAATCGTGTCTTCCAGTTTAGATTAAGTGTGCTAGGTCAGCACAAATCTGTCTTCCATTAGAGTAAGCGAACAATAACATCATCAAACATGTTACGTGATTTGACTTTGTGATCTTAGTTTAGTGTTTCATCAATCAGATGATGTTATTGTTTTTCGTTTAAGGTAAATTAGTTGTTGGTAATGTAACAGTAAATTGTCACATCATTTGGTAGACAGCTTTAATACTGCACTGTAATTATCGAGCACGTTTGATTCTTCCATTCGAACATCTAATTTTATAATCCAATGTCTTCCATTAGCTTTAGGATGAATCTGTGATATTTAACACGAAGCTTTAATTAGTATAAGAAGAGATTTTATTGCAAATTATTTAGCGTAAGATTAACATTTATCCCATTACAGATTAGTAGATGTAAATAGATTTGAACATTAATATGTAATTGGACAAGTATGAAAGCTTTAATTAGCTGTAAGTTAGATTTAAAATATTTGTAAATTAATTAATTTTCATGTGTTTAACTTTACTTGTATGATTATGATGTTCTTTTACGTGTATTACTAACTAAAATAGGCCGAACGTGCCAATGTTACTTTAAGTTTCTTTCATTACTTTAGCTTTTAAGTATTTAGTTTTATTTACTGTTATATTCAATGTGCCTTTTAGAATATAGTTATTTTTAAGATTGCACTGTTAACAAGTAGTACAATTACTTTGTAAGTTTTTTAGTAAAAACCATTTTTGTAGACTGATATTAATAAGATGAAGACTTTCGTTTGATCTCTGTAATAAATACTTATTTTAACAATACTACATTCTTTAATTCAATAATCCTACACAAACTTTCATAAAGAATAGAAGTTACTTATGAATAGCTTGCAATCTATATATCCATAGTTGGACGATTTATAACTCACGAACGGCTGGACCAATTTGAATTTTTGGATTTGCCTTCGTCCGGAATTTAAGAATTTAAAAATGATCTTTATCGAAAAAATTATTAAAGAAACATCAGTTTTAAATGGTTAAAAAAGTCCTACACTACCTACTGGCTACTGGTTTTTGATTTCTACTCTTCTTAAAGCATAATGAAAATGATTACAGTGAACAAAACAATAGCACGAAAATTAATCACGCAGAACGCCGACTGCGGACAGTTCAGAATGTAACTCCCAGCAGTAAACCCGCTACTCGCTAGTGAAAAAGCGACTTCTAAGCCTCAACAGATGTAATCTCAACATTTACGGGAGTAGATACATAGGAGATCCTTACGCCCAAAATTAATAATGCATCCTAAATGTAAGTACAAACAATCTTGGATTGATTCAAATCTAATGATCGATCTCTAATCTGCTTACCAATATAACAAATCTGATATCCCGATATAAAAATGTTTGTTCAAGCATACTGAAAGTTTTGCTGTTTCTTGTTGTTTTTGGAACGAAATAAAATACGACTAAGACTAAAAACTATGTATGTAGGTATAGTAACAAACATTTTTATTTGTAATTAATAATAAAAACGTTGAAGTTCTCATTTTAAATTTAATTTAAATTTTCCTTCTTGTATACCTTACTCATAGATGGGCAGAGGCAATTGCGTCCAAGGGGGAGGCGCTAGCGGTTAGTTTGGACATAGCGAAAGCCATTGATCGGGTGTGGCACAGAGCACTGCTCTCGAAGCTTCCAGCCTACGGGCTTCCCTAGAAATTATGCGACTGGATCTCCAGCTTTCTGGCCGATCGGACTATCAAGGTCGTCATCGACGGAGCATGTTCCGACCTTAAACCCGAGAACGCTGGGGTCCCACAAGGCTGTGTTCTATCCCCGACCCTGTTTCTTCTGCATATCAATGATATGTTGCAACTTAGCAACATTCATTGCTATAGCAGAACAAGTTCTGTTATTACTATATATTTCTGGGTCATTAGTCAAGACTAAACATAATTATTAGACTCTAAGTAAATTAATTTAATTGTAAAAATTGAACTGTTAGTATTAATAAATAAAGAACTTATTTTTACTATTGAAAAACTAGTTTTAGGGACAGAAAAATTGAAATTAGAAATTGAAAAGTAAATTGTTTATACATAAATATTAATAAGCATTATATAATTGACTATTTTGTAGGTTTTAAATATATTAGTTATTATATGTAAGAATATACTGAATATAAATGTTATATTATAATGTTCCGTTTTTTATTTATTTTCAATATATCATCGCTTTACATGGGTATAATAAATAATAATTTAATTTTATAGAGAGAATAACTACGTAAAGGATTAAAATTTTTGCTGAGTTACTTTTATTAAAAATAAGTACTAGGTAGTATTTTTTATGTACAAAAAGGACAATTTATTAAAACATAGTTGTTTTTGCTAGATTTATATTAATTTATCTAAAATAATTATTAAATAGGCTTGTTAAAGAAGAATTATGTCTTGATTTCCTTCATCAATTTCTTGACTTGACATTGTATTAAGTATTGAAACTTCTGCCGGTATATCTACGAAATTATAATTCCTACAAATGCAGAACAGCAGTAATAATAATGAAATGGTCTGAAAAAGACAAACATTTTAACCTTACATCATGTTTCATTTGGGTCTACACATCATGCAACTTTTTAACATAGCAGTTATGAATACTTTAAATTATATATGTACCTCTATAGTAATCCTAGTCTTAATGTGCGTTTCATTATATTGTGGATCAGCCAGAGAAAAGGGGCTTAACAATGGTGATAATAAGTATGGTATATTCGGGTAAGCACTATCACTAAACATCCATCGATTTAGACATAGACATAACATTTATTACATACGAAAACACACACATATAAACACACAAAGAAACAATACTCAAAGAAAAAATAAAATAAGACATATCAAAAACAATAAAAATTAAAAATTCCATTTTGCCATTCGGTTCGCTTCAAGTGTGCAATGTGTGTGTACTGTGGTTGTAATTGGCCCTGGCTCAGCATTATGCTGAGGAGCAGAAAGTTCTACAGCGCTGGTCATTCTGCCAGAGACCACATCAGCTAGTTTGCGCCTCTGTAGCAAAGAAAAATATTTCTTAGATATAATTTAATATACCCGCTAATTTACTTGGCACATTTATGAAATTCTGCCTTCTTATAAATATTATAACTTCGTAGGTTTTGTGGGTGACTGATTCCTCTGCGCTGAAATAGCCTCAATGGGGGTCTGTAGCGCCAAGGACAAAGAGATAATTAATAACGCCCAAAATTAATATGTAATCTCAATCCAATTTTAGAAAACTTAGATAGACAAAAATGGATATTTTTAAAGAAAAGCATGCCAAAGTTCAAAGTTTATGAATGTTAATATGTGCATTGGCCACTTTCGTCTGATGATGCAACAATTTTTGATGACTCAGTTCTTAGGAAACTTCTGAGCATCTGGTAGGAGTTAGGCTGGCCCAATTAGTGAGGACTTAACGCACAAACTTCCCTGATGTTTTGTTTTTTGTTTTCTTACCTTTCTGACCTCAACTTTTGACTTGTATTACGACATATTATTGGAATTGAATCATATTTCATAATAATGCTCTATTTAGGCAGTAAACGAAGGTATGAATAATTTTTACAATGTTTTTATAATAAAAATAATTTATTTTATACGATATAGAAACTTAAATTATATACAATGTGTGTAAAGAATTAAAATTTGCTTGTGCCAATTGATTTAGTTACTTACTGTATGTTTGTCCACAGATTTCTAGCAATCATAAATGACATATCGTATTGATTTTGTCTTAACCACGTATATTCCAACTTAGGGAATACATACATCAAAATTGGTTGAGTAGTTTTTGAGTTGTTTTCACGGGGTATCTATGGGTTTCTGTATATTAAAGGTATCATGATAACAAATAAATTACCATTATCGTTGTTTTTTTTATATTTAATTACCTGTTTAAGTCTGTCATGGGAAGGCCCATTAAGAGTATTACTACGCGTGGAATCTTACATTTTACCTATCTATTAATCATTTCTGGCCACCCATTCTTAAGCATTAAAAATAGCTGCGCACTACTATGGTCCGAATATTATAAACAAAAAATATCGACGCTACGTGTCAAGAAACAGTATTAGGGACGTGACATTGTACAAAGGTAGATGTCCATTTATAAGGCATAATAAAACGCGGCCAACGTTTAAGAATGATAAATCGGTGGAATTCTAAACGATTCGTTCCGACCCGAGCTCATACATAAAGTGTCGTACCTTCAAAATCGCAGGATGCAGTAATAAGGTACCGTGAAATCGCGGCTCTGTAACGAATCGCAGAAAAATTTCGGTTTTTCGGTTATTTCTTAGGGATTTACACGGGCTTTCTTCGGCGATTTGATACGCTGAACGGGTGTCAGTATTACAAACACATGTCCTTTGATTTAGGCTTGTATTTCTATTCAATGATCAGTAACGGCTTTTGGATTTCGCGACAGATTTCACGCCGCAAACGCGTTACATTGATGTTGACTTACCTTCCGTCACAGCTGGTAGTTACGACTTTAATGGGATGAATTGTATTTTGTAAAACATGGATTTTTCGTGACCATAACTCATTGTAGTTCCTAAATCTATTATATTTCCAACGTATGTTCATGGGTAAAATAATGTACATATATATAATATGACATATCACGTATAATGCGCAAAGAATGTTAGTAGATGGAAGAAATCATGGCTTCGCAACGTTAGGGAGACGGGTATTGCGACTGCGAAAGAGTTGCTGCATCTGGCCCAGGATACGCTTCAAAAGACTGACGACCAACTCCCAGTAATGGAGAGGCATCAAAAGAAGAAGATACGCGAAGCCAAAACTTTGGTCAGATTAAGAGGATTCTGCGAACGGATGAAACGTCGATTAACACAGTTATATTTATATGGAGAGAAAGTGTATAAATCTAAGGATTATATAAACATCATAAGAAATA